TTATTACCTTACAGAACGTAAACCTCTTAATGACCTCCCTATAAAAGGGAATGTATTTTACATAAGTGAGCACCCGGACTTCTTGTCTTTCCAGCATTAAGTTTAAGTAAGGCTACACGAAACTAAATTATTTTTTTTTTACTTTTTACTGCATTTTTACTTTCTCGTATACAGAGTATAGAGAAAGTATTGTAATCGGGTACAAAAATCACAAGAAATTTTGACAGTTTTTACCGTTTTACTCCTTAGTCATTCATCACATCCGGAATATAGAGGACTTATTTTAATCGTGCAACAATTATAAATCCAGGTTTAATAAAATTTTGGTGTTTTATGAAGTCGGAAAAACTGGATTATTCAATTCTGTCCGCGCGTGTGTTTGTGTAAACACGATCACTTGAGTACCTTTACAGCTAGGTTGATGAATTTTCACATTTAAGTATTATATCAAAATCGTAGATCCGTAACAACTTTTGAGCGATTTCCGATAACCGGAAGTGAAACTTTTTCTATTTTCAAAAGCTTATAACTTGAGTACTATTTCAGATAGATAAATCAAATTTCACACGCTAGTAATAGATCTAATTCTCTGCCTTCTGTCTAATTTTGAGCAATTTTCGTTGACCGCAAGCAGTAATTTTCGCTATTTACAATTTCTCAAAAAAAACGCATGTGAATTTATAAAGTATTAATAATATTTCGCACTATTATACACATTTTATTTGGCGTTCATTTGTGCAATTCTTTTTAAAAAAGTTTAAGTATTTATAATGGATTAAAAATCATGTCTACATCCCAAGTTGCCATCCCTTGTTTTTATATAAGAATATTTGGGAAAGTTTAGGGAAGATCACTCCCGGTTTTGTTTGTGATATTTTGCGGTGTGATTTGTGAGTTATATATAAGCTTAACATTTTATTATATGTATAAAGGCCTAAGTGGGGCCCGAATGTTTTTGTTTTTTTACAATGATGGGGTCCTATAGGCTAAGGAAACAAATAACATCTTCCTGTGGTAGAGGTCTTGGAAAAGTAAAAATATATAATTTTTCTGTTAATACATCTGCATATTTTCAACAACTGTTTCAAATTAATATTTAATTAAGTCATATGAACATGTGAATGTAGGGTGACACTGACCTCAACTCTCCGGAATGTTAAGGCATTAAATCATCAAAAGAGGCTCAAATAAACCCCAGCATTCAACACACATTGGTCTTATATGTTACAATTATGTTACAATACAGACACTGTTATAAAAACACTAAAATAATTGATAGATTTAGTTATCAATTTTAATTTCATGTTACGATCTTATACCAGTTTACAACAGTAACATTTTCATTAAAGTGTTTTTAAAAATAAAGAAAACAAAATTAAATACAACAAAGCAAAACCTTTACTAAAAGTATGATACTAAAATGTCCAAACATAACCATTGCAGGTTTAGTCTTTTTTAATTTAATTTATAACTTGTATGTGGTGTTATGTTTCAAGCATTAGAAACTGATAGTTGTGTTAGTAAAAAACCCCACTTAACTTGCTGAGACCAAAAACAAAGATCAACAATAAAAATGTTCAGCCACAAGCATGGTCAAAAAATTGGTAATTTACTAGAAGTAGAACTCAAACATTATCCTATTAATAATATATACAGATTGTAAAAAGTAAAGATTAGAATGTCAATTCTATTGATGCTTCAACAATTTAATTAATGTAATATATTATTATACACTCTTCACTGTAAAGATTTCATGCCTAACATCAGAATTATAAAATTTATCTCTAGTATAAATTTGTTTGTGCCTACTTAAACTAGAACTGGATAAAACCTTTTTAAAACAAACATCACATTCATATGGCTAAATTCCTGTATGAATTTTCTTGTGTGTATTTAAATTATAACTGTCTGAAAAACTTTTATGACAAACATCACATTCATAAGGTTTAACTACTAAAGAAATTTTTTTGTGTCTGTTGAGAGCAGAACTGTATAAAAATTTTTTATGCCAAACATCACATTCATACGAATTATTTCCTGAATGAAATCATTTGTGTCTATTAAAATTAGAACTGTCTGAAAACCTTTTATGACAGAGATTACATTCATATGGCTTCACTACTAAATGAATATTTTTGTGTTTACTTAGAGAAGAACTGTCTCAAAACTTTTTATGACAAACATCACATTCATGTGGGTTATCTCAAGAATGAACTCTCTTGTGTTTATTAAAATTATAACTGCCTGAAAACTTTTTATGACAAAGATCAAATTCATAAGGCTTAGCTACGATATGAATATTTTTGTGTTTGCTTAATGCAGAACTGTTTGAAAACTTTTTATGACAAACATCACATTAATATGGTTTATCTCCTGAATGAACTCTTTTGTGCTTTGATAAATCAGAATTGATAGCAAACTTTTTGTGACAAACATCACATTCATATGGTTTACATCCTGAATGAACTCTTTTGTGTCTACTAACATTAGAACTTTGAGAAAACTTTTTATGACAAACATCACATTCATAAGGCTTAACTACTGAATGAACAAGTTTATGTTTGCTTAAAGCAGAACTGTCTGAAAACTTTTGATGACAAACATCACATTCATGTGGCAAATATGCTCTAGCAAGTCATACCGCACATAAATAGTTATAGCCGCAGCTACAGAATGACCTGTTTAGTCTAGGGTTTGTCTCGTTGGACAAGAGGTCCCTTAATAGTTAATATTGCTTTTATTAATGTTAGGTTATTATTATTGACTGACTGCCGATATTTGGCTCAGTGAAAATGTTTCAAATTATGATAAAGTAATTAATTCAGTTCCAAGAACATTTAACTTTTAATACATTAATTATTGGTATAGTAGTACTAATACAACTTGGAGTAGCCCGGAATGGGCGACTGGTCTTCAGGGCGGCGTGGTCACGCTTGCTCACACACCGACCTCTGTAGCGTCTAAGTTTCAGCCCCAAGCTAGCCGGCTGTAAAATACATGTGACAACTTCCTAACATTCATTCAGACACATACAAGTTTACAATTGTTACCAAGATAATACATTTACATTAGCCTTACCTAAGGCCTACAATAAACATTACTAGAAAATAGGCTTTTCATTCATACATTGTTTTATACTCAATTCATACTTATTAATTAATATTAAAACAGTACAGCTAATAAAAGTAAGAGTAAATTACCTTCCAATGAAGCCACACAATCCTCTACACACGTTGCCAAACGTACGTTTAATTTCTCCGTAGAGAACAAGTGCCGTAGCACCAAAATAATTATAATGTAATAATGGCTAGTGCCTAAGCACCAAAATAAACGTGTACCTCCGAAGAGGGGAGAAGGTAGAGTGACCGGACTGTAGCGTCCCGACCCTACAGGTCACATGACTTAGGCTCCGCCCTCGTGACCGCAGTCTAAGGTCGAGGCCCGGTCAGCCTTACGATACCGCTGGACTCAGGTCCAGGTGTGTACCGTTACCTGTGGGGTAGCAAGAAGGGGGGAGAGGTGGAGACACCATGATAGATATTTATAATCTATCATAACAATTCATACGGTTTATCTCCTGAATGAACTCTTTTGTGTCTAATAACACTAGAACTTTGAGAAAACTTTTTATGACAAACATCACATTCATAAGGCTTAACTACTGAATGAACAAGTTTATGTTTGCTTAAAGCAGAACTGTCTGAAAACTTTTGATGACAAACATCACATTCATACGGTTTATCTCCTGAATGAACTCTTTTGTGTCTAATAACATGAGAGCTTTGAGAAAACTTTTGATGACAAACATCACATTCATACGGTTTATCTCCTGAATGAACTCTTTTGTGTCTAATAACATTAGAACTGTGAGAAAACTTTTTATGACAAACATCACATTCATAAGGCTTAACTACTGAATGAACAAGTTTATGTTTGCTTAAAGCAGAACTGTCTGAAAACTTTTGATGACAAACATCACATTCATACGGTTTATCTCCTGAATGAACTCTTTTGTGTCTAATAACATGAGAGCTTTGAGAAAACTTTTGATGACAAACATCACATTCATATGGCTTAACTACTGAATGAACAAGTTTATGTTTGCTTAAAGTAGAACTGTCTGAAAACTTTTGATGACAAACATCACATTCATACGGTTTATCTCCTGAATGAACTCTTTTGTGTCTAATAACATTAGAACTTTGAGAAAACTTTTGATGACAAACATCACATTCATATGGCTTAACTACTGAATGAACAAGTTTATGTTTGCTTAAAGCAGAACTGTCTGAAAACTTTTGATGACAAACATCACATTCATACGGTTTATCTCCTGAATGAACTCTTTTGTGTCTAATAACATTAGAACTTTGAGAAAACTTTTTATGACAAACATCACATTCATAAGGCTTAACTACTGAATGAACAAGTTTATGTTTGCTTAAAGCAGAACTGTCTGAAAACTTTTGATGACAAACATCACATTCATACGGTTTATCTCCTGAATGAACTCTTTTGTGTCTAATAACATGAGAGCTTTGAGAAAACTTTTGATGACAAACATCACATTCATATGGCTTAACTACTGAATGAACAAGTTTATGTTTGCTTAAAGCAGAACTGTCTGAAAACTTTTGATGACAAACATCACATTCATACGGTTTATCTCCTGAATGAACTCTTTTGTGTCTAATAACATTAGAACTTTGAGAAAACTTTTTATGACAAACATCACATTCATAAGGCTTAACTACTGAATGAACAAGTTTATGTTTGCTTAAAGCAGAACTGTCTGAAAACTTTTGATGACAAACATCACATTCATACGGTTTATCTCCTGAATGAACTCTTTTGTGTCTAATAACATGAGAGCTTTGAGAAAACTTTTGATGACAAACATCACATTCATATGGCTTAACTACTGAATGAACAAGTTTATGTTTGCTTAAAGCAGAACTGTCTGAAAACTTTTGATGACAAACATCACATTCATACGGTTTATCTCCTGAATGAACTCTTTTGTGTCTAATAACATTAGAACTTTGAGAAAACTTTTGATGACAAACATCACATTCATATGGCTTAACTACTGAATGAACAAGTTTATGTTTGCTTAAAGCAGAACTGTCTGAAAACTTTTGATGACAAACATCACATTCATACGGTTTATCTCCTGAATGAACTCTTTTGTGTCTAATAACATTAGAACTTTGAGAAAACTTTTTATGACAAACATCACATTCATAAGGCTTAACTACTGAATGAACAAGTTTATGTTTGCTTAAAGCAGAACTGTCTGAAAACTTTTGATGACAAACATCACATTCATATGGCTTAACTCCAGAATGAACTCTTTTGTGTTTACTTAACCTAGAACTATCTGAGAACCTTTTATTGAAAGCTTCACATTCGATTAGCCTTTCCCCTGTTTGAGCTTGTTTATTCAAGTTAGATCTTTGAAAAAACTGTTCATGATGATCATGAGGATCAACAGAGAGATATGTTTCATCTTCAGAGAGTTTTAGCTTTTCTTCAAGTCCATTTTGTTGTTTGTCCTCAGAATCTAAAAATTTTGTCCATAAATCTGGTTTCAAATCTTTGTTGGTTGATAAAGTTTCTAATTCTGGGAATATATCTTCGCTAGTTGATAAAGTTTCTAATTCTCGTTTTAGATCTTCACTAGTTGATATATTTTGTAATTCTGGATTTGTATCTTCAGTAGTTGATAAAATTTCTAATTCTGTGTTGGTTGATAAAGTTTCTAATTCTGGTTTTATATCTTCAGTAGTTGATAAAATTTCTAATTCTGTGTTGGTTGATAAAGTTTCTAATTCTGGTTTTATATCTTCAGATCTTGTACATACTGCTGATACAGCAGGTTCCACATCTTTAAAAATTAAAAATCCTGTTGTTTTATCTTGAGATGTTAGAAATGTCATATGGTGTTTTACATCATCAAAAGAGGAAAATGTTGTACATTCTGACTTTGTGTCTGTAGAAGATGAAAAATCTGGCGTAACAACGGTTTTATCATCCTGTGAAGTTATAAATGTCATGTTTGGTTTGATATCACGGAAAGTTAAAAATGATAATTCTGTTTTTATGTCAGAAGAAGATGAAAATACTGTAGATAGAAGTGGCTTCACATCTTCAGAATTTGAAAATTCTTTAAACTCATCAGACTGTAAATCTAAATCAGCAGTTGCCTCTCCCATGCTGCTTCTTATAAATGAACTGAGGATTAAATTTTTAGAATGTTAAAGTGGTGATTAAAACAAAGTTTTTTCAATAAAACTTCACAGAAGCATATTAAAATATCTTAGAAATGAATTTAAATAGCTTGAAATTAACAAAATCACAAAACAATTTTAAAAAATAAACTAATGTTGACTATTGTATATGCCTAGAGGTGGTGGATAATGGTAGAAAATAAAATAGTTAAGTTATATTTTGTATTTTATGACATTATTTGTACACAATTAACATGCCAAACTTTTTAAATTGACAGAAGGTAAGTATACTATGTTACAAAAACTGCAATCCTAACAATTCATATTTTCACTTTAAAAAATGTTAAAAAAGTTCATCAAAGAGGAAAGTGCAATGCACTTAGTTTTTATTATGAGGCGATATGATAAATAATAAATCTAGCCAAATAATTGAATTTTGGGGCGCAACACATTTATTTTTCACAAGATTATAATAAAATGGGATTTGAGGGGGGGGGGGGGGGGGGGGGGGGGGGGCGGGAGGTTGACCTCACCTCAGGACGTTGTCATGTATATAAAGCTAAGACTCTGAACTGTTGCTTAATCATACCCTGGTTAATATTAAAAGAATAGAAATAATTTGATTTTAATCTCATTTTAACACAAAAATATACAGAGCTACTTTCACTAAAGGTTAGGGCCAGTTAGAGTGACTCATCACATTTTTTTAATTATTTCACATTTTTTAGAGGGATTAATGTTTAGAAAATTACAAAATGTTTCAAACTTTCATTCATGGTGTGCCTGATGATAAACAATTGTATTAAAACGTTTTTTTTATAACATTTTAGCTAGAGATTCAGGGGAAACCACTTTAATATACACATGGCCGCTGTTTATATAGCAAATCTTGCTTAAAGGCTGTTTAAAGTTAATTTCTAACCTATATTGATATATTTGGACATTGATTTTGGTTTATTATTCAATTATCTCTATATATGAAAAGCAATGTATGTGAGACTTTGAGGAGCTGAACACTCTGGGGAAGCGCTGTGTACAAAAAATCATTTTTAATTTCGCAAGGGCGGCGCCAAGGCAGGGTGCAATTTTTCTCTACATGTGGTATATAAAAATAATAAAAGAGGATTGCAGTGACACTGTTCACACTATCGCCATGAAACTTTGGAAAGTTGCAAAGAATATTTCTGGGGAGGGTTGTGCGAAAAAAAAAAAAATCAAATTTTCAGGGGTGGCGCCCGCCAGGTTGGGATTTGTTTTTTCTCTATATACGATATATAAAAATAAAAGTCGATTGCAATTTTACACCGTTCATGCGATCACCACCAAACTTTAGGGAGTTGATTAGAACACTCCAGGGAAGGGTTCTGTAGAAAAATATTTTTTAATTTCGCCAGGGCGGCGTCACGGGAGGGTGCAATTTTTTTTAATATAAGGTATATAAAAATAAAAGTCGATTGTGGTTTGAAATCGTTCATCCAATCGCCATTAAACTTTGGGAGTTAAGAACACCTCAGGTGAGATGTCTGTAAAAAAATATGTTTTCTTTAATTTTGCAAGGGCGGCGCCACTGGATAGTGCGATTTTTCTCTATATACGGTATATATAAAAATAAAAGTCGATTCTGGTTTGACACCATTCAACCGATAGGCATGAGACTTTGGGGAATTGCTACTCCTGAGAAGGTTTCTGTGGTGGCGGGGAGGGGGGTTGGATTTTACATGGGCGGCCCCCCGGCAGGATGCGATTTGGCGCCCTGGTCTTTCCGGTGAGCCCTATTGCGACTAGCCCTATTGCGACTACGTTCGGTCCAAACAGTGTGATAGACAATTGATGGAATGGGGCGTTACAAACCCTCACTAGATTGAATCAGGCGTGTCCTCCTGCGCCCTGGTAGGGTGCGATTTGGCTGCAAATAAAAATTTCTGTTTCAGCACCCAAAGGGTCGCTGAGGGCCATGAAATACGTTTTATTTTAATAATCAGAAAACTTAACCAAGGTTAGATTATTAACTGGGATGTTTCTTTTTATCTGTAAAAAAATCCAAACAGTTTTGTCACTTTGTGAATGAAGCAATTAGCATCTATTTTTAGACAGTCCAATCAGAAATTGAGATCGAGCATTAGTAACCCTAACATATTGCATCAGTCACACTGTTGTTTAAAACACGTCAAATAATTTTTTTACGTGTTAAAGAAAAACTCCTGTTCGTTTGTGTCACTTTAGCAAATGACGCAATATGCATCATTGTTAAAAGGATGCTATTTGCACGATGGTGTCTGTTACTTTTTAAGGAGCCAGGGGCCGAACGCAGTAGTGTAATCGGGGGGGGGGGGGGGGGCAGCAACACTGAGAGTGCCACCCTACCACTTTACGTCCCTGACACATGGGCGGTCACCGTAGTGTGTTCCACCTCATTATTTCTGTGAGTTATTAATGTACACTTGAGGTTTTATGCGGTAGTGTAGGTAAAACTGTGTCCCGATAGATATGATCCAAGCACAGGCAATGTTTATATTTAAATAACTCACTTTTAGATAAACAAGGTCACTAGTCTAAGAATATAGGGTTGGTAACGCATGGATGAAACCCTTATATATTTCGTCGGACTTTCTTGTATTCCCGCGGCAACGTGCGGAGACGGGACGCTAGTCTTATATATTTGACACACAAATATTAGTATTGCTCAGCAAAAATGTGGGTTTTTCATGTTATACAAACAAGCTATAGGTGGCAGGACTAAATATGCCAGAAAAAGCATTTTAAATTTGCTTTGGAGAAGGAAGGTAAATTTAAAGGTTGGTGTCATTAAAAATAAGATTTTTCAATAACCTTTTGTAGAAGCATATTAATGTGTCTTAGAAATAAATGTAGATAGCTAAAACTTACCAAGATTAATAGACAACTTTAAAAAAATGTATAGGGGTGGCAGATAATTTGAAAATCCTCCTTATTATTGAATTTAATTACTTAGGGGTTATCCGTCCAAAAAAATTTGGAATTTTAGACCCCCTGTCCACACGCGTCTACTTCAAACAAACCACTCCCCCCCCCCTATTGTGGATATCCACACAAATTTAGTAAACATGCTGCAAAATGATTATTTCATTTACATTCAATGTGTACATTAATTAACTGATAATTTTATATAGGTTTTTCTGTAACATCTATTACTAGGCCTAAATAATAATTGAATAATTGGGAGTTAAACTTTTCCAAGATGTCCGTAAGTCTACAGCGTGTAAACTTACCGGGTGAATGTGCTAAGAATATCTTAAATTGTTCTTTATTGAAAAAGTAATTTCTCGTGTACCCTGCCTCTCAATTTTAAAGGCTTTTTTACCAATGTTTTTCATAAAAAGTCAGAGATTGCAGACAATCATAGATTTTTTAAAAATTGAAGTTGCCATAGACCGAACTTTTTACTGACACTTGTGACTGGCTAGCTATCAACAATTTTATGGGCTCGGGTAAATTTGGCTAATCAACATGAAGTCATTATATTACTTTTACTCAACTTTACATTGCATGTGTTTCCATAACAAACCACATCCCCTGCTTTTGTGTGTTAGCACTGACCGTTAGCCCTACACACCTGGCCGAGCGACCACATTTGCACACGCTGTTATCTAAATATATCATTAAAAATTGGTTATTTTGAGTTTTTTTTTTACTTGAACAAAAAAGGACTAGATCTGTATCGTCTTAGGCTTTGTCAGAAAATAATAATGTAGGCCTGCTATGGTTTAGTGACAAATTGTTTTCCAAAATTGTCGCGGTCAATGCCTCATACCCTCCTGTTTGTAAAAAAAAAAATGGCTTTTGTTCTTAAGTGGGCGGTATACAGCTACATTTCTGATACATTTACCACGAAAACTGACGATTTAATGTTTCAACATTTTATATGCATTTTTTTAAATTTATGTTTAAAATTATCAAATGTAAGTATTGTGTGGTTTAATTCTGCATGTGGGCGTCCACATAGACCCGTATTACTAGAACTCCTCATGGCTTTAATAAGACAACTTAATTCTTACAATGTAATATGTCAGTGGTGTATATAATGGACAACAAACTGAGGCAATGTCAAGTAGTATAGGACACAATTCACATATTCCAGTCAACTACTGTAAACTTTAGCCAAACAACTTACCGATGACAATGTAAATAGGTTAGTGGTGTATATTATATTGAATGGACAACAATGTGGTGTGGAATACAGTATAGGACATAATTCACATATTAAGCATAATATTCCAGTCAGCTTGTTTGGCTTTTTTTTAAATATAAATTTACATGCATGTAGGGTGTAGATCTAATGAATGAATGCCAGTAATGTCATGCAATTTGCATGCATTTTATGTTTTTGAATTATAATGTTGTCTAGACTTCTAGACTAGTCCTACTCAAACTCAAATTCATGTTACACTCTGGCGTGTTTCAATCCCAAAATTTGTATCACAGTGACAAAAAGTAAATTTTTATATCTATGTCTATGATGATGAATTAAATTTAGTCTACTGTTACAATACATCTAAGTGTGTTGCATAATCTTAAAAAAAGGCATTAAAACAGAATTATACATACATGTTCGTATCAAGTATTTGCTTAGCTCTATGTTTTTATTAAAACAAACACAGCTAAACTATACCCAAACCCCTACCCTATCTTTGTTTATGCTTCAACAAATATTATTTAATAATGGCGTCCATGATGCCGTCCTAAGTGTGGTGTTAGGCCAAAGTTAAACACACTTAGCCTATACAGTTAGTAAGTAAATGTATTACATTTCAATCAATAAGAGGTTGAAACATAGGTAATTTCAATTTCGGTCAGGCACTATTCGCCTTTTTAAATTATTGAGCTCGAAACACAAGCTAATTAGGATTGAGTTTCCCTCGAATGCCTCGGGTAAGACAAGGAATGTAATTAAGTCACAAGTACATTTAAATTTAACATTAGGCTATCATTTATAAATATACAGGTCACTTCTGGTTACTGCATGTCAGCGATAACTATGAAATTCTCGTTTTTAACCACCCAGTACTAGGCCTATAGATGGGATAGGATATTGAAGCCATTTTGGAAAGTGCTTTCTAAACGAGGATAATATAAACATTAGGGACTTGGATTACCTTGATTTTGAGGCACCAAAAATGAGAGTGTTCTCCCCATACCGACATAGATATATATTAATGTAACAGTGCGGCCGCAGGTGAGGATAAAAATTTTTTTTTCCGTAAGAAATCACTAAGCTTCTAGAATATTGACGTTTTTTTTCTTCTGAAAACCAAACAGATTTAGTACATAACAGTGTTTTTCTTTTGAGATATTGTTTAGAATAAATTATGGATTTTTGAGCCAAACTTTTGGTAAGTTTAAAGCTTTGTATCATTTAAAGTTACTGACTTTTTAGGCAAATAAAAAGCCCTCCGCCCATAATCACCATTCTCCTATATGTGTTTCAATTTTCAACATGATATTCAATAGCAAAGTATTTTTTTAATAATTATTTTTTAAAGTATAAGTTTTAGTATAAGGCTTAAGCCATTTTATGACTACAGGGAAAGACAGAGGTTGAAACCAGAAGTGTACTTGTGTTGTTAATGACGCCATTGCTCTCTATTGAATTGATTTGTAAATCCAGCAACATCCACACGTATCTGACTTTAAAACAATTTTAAATTACAGAATTATATTTTATATTGATGAAGCTTTGATTCTTTGTTGACTTTCTGTGCATATTTTGTTTAGATTCATTATTTTTGTAATTTTGAGTTAGATCTAAAAATAGATTTCTGCAAAGTTTTGTTATAACTTAGGCTTGATGAAAATAAAAAATAGAAATGTAGCCTTAAGCTCAACAAATTATTTTCATAATTTCAAGTTCTCTGGATTTGCAACTTTTATAGCATTTATTCTAAAAATATAAAATTTCTAAATTAATTTTAGGCTTAAGTTTATATTTTTTATTTTTTTTACGGTCTAAATCTAAAAAGCACATTTTTATTCCATGATTTTGTCAACAACATTAAAATTTACATTATGGAAGGAATCTCGTCAACTCGCTCGCCTCCATTAATGATTAAACATTGAAATCAAAAGTAGAAGAACCAAACAAAACGGCCTAGACAATAAAGCCATATGGGTGACCTTTCTGGCACATTACTATGAGTACTTCTTTTACTAGATCTAGATTTAGACTCTAGCATTGGTCAATTTTACGAACATAAAACGATAGCTTACCCAGACTTAATTAAAAATGTGGGTAAAATTCGCCGCTTCACGTTCACTTCTGGTTGGGCGTATTTTATTTTAACCTAAAACCGAAACACACAAAAACATTTAGAAAACACTAGGCTAAGATTAAATCTAGATTCTAGATCTACTTTACTACTTAATTTTTTTTATAAATGTGTGTTTTAATTAGAAAAGGTAAAAAAAGATTATAAATAAGCATTAGATCTAGGTCCAATTAAATAGCATGTGATCATCAGCGGGAGAAAAATCCCTACCCGGTCAAAGATTCAAAGCAGAGGCGTAGCGACCCTTCCCGGCGCCCGGGGACAAACTTTCGATTTGCACCCCCCTCGAACTTTTCATTTGCACCCCCCCCCTCTCAAAATTTCGATTTTCACCCCCACCCCCCCCCCCCCCTCCAACTTTTCATTTGCACCCCCCACCTCAAAATTTCGATTTGCACCCCCCCCCTCGAACTTTTTATTTGCACCCCTCCCCCCCTCAAACTTTCAATTTGGCGCCCCCTAAGGTCGGCGCCCGGGGACAGATTCTATTTCCGATTACTAAAATTAAAGATTAGTTCAAAATCACGGGTTTTATCCCACTACCATTTAATGAAAACGAACCCGCGCAGGGATCTTTGTAAATCAATCCGAGGGTTTTGTCCGAGTAGTCACTTAGTAAAAACAAACAAACCCGCAAGCTGTGAATCCAACGGTCTTGGGCTCTTGGCATAGGACAGTCAGAGGCGTAGCTGGGGGGGGGGGGGGCGGCCGCCCTGAGCGCCAACCCTAGGGGGGCGCTAAAAGGGGTGGACATTTTTTTAAAGCTGATTTTATGCTGCAGTTTTGAATTATAAACAGTCAAATTTAAGAAATGTAATGACTACAAGCTTTTATATAATACTGGTTTAACAGTTTTCAACCTTCAAAATTAACCGTAAAAATATACTCTTAAGAAGCAGTGACCGGCAAAACCGCTTTTCAGCTTTTCCTAGATGGTGGGGGGGGGGGGCGCTATTTCGAGACTAAAATCGGAAGAATTTACACTATATTGGTGAGTCGATACACGTTAGCACTTATAGAAACAACTAATTGTATTAAAACAGTTCACGGCTGAAGAAGACATTTAGTTCCTCACGTCATTTACGTGCGAGATCATCAAAGACTACCAGATGCAGTTTCAGTAGTGATTTTCTGACTTGGATTCAAAGGAAGAAGTGAGACTGCTTCAAAAAACAATTTGAAGCAAATGTGATCAGTTGCCCAGATGAACTGCAGCTGGGGGCCACTAGAGACACGTTCAAAGAAGGGCGAGTGGGTTTTATAGAGTCTAGATTGTAATATATTGAGCTTTGTGAATTCAAGGGAACTCACTCTTCTTGTATTAGTCTTATAATGTTTTGAGTGATGTCCCTTGCATGTCATGTGTTTCCGGTATTAGATTCAGAATAAACAAGGCATGTGCATAAGATGGCTTCTTAGTCCGTTGTATTATAATAAGAACACCAATCTATTTCATAGATGATAAAAAAAGTATTAAAATACTCTTCAGTCTCTTCAGTTGCTATTTTGTGAAGATATGGAGAAAATAAATTAGTTTTTTGAAACTAGATTATTAAAATGGGAAAAGTGGCTTTGGACTTTGTACGGATGGTGCAGCATCTATGTTTGGGTCAAAATAGGGGTTTTAGAAAACAGTAGAAGATTTAGTTCTCTAACAAAAGGGAATCCACTGCATGATTCAACGGTATGCTCTCGCCATCAAGACTCTTACGACTCCATTGCTAATAAAGGCTTAAATTATATTAAACGAGCTGACCTGCGACGTAATCTACGCCGCTATTTTGTTTAATTCCTATTTCTCTGTAATTCAAAATTTGTGAATTCGACACTACCAATGTTGTGACTACAAATATTTTGCTTTAAAACACTATCAGTAGCTAGTAAAGGGCGATTATCTCCACCCTCACTTTAGACTCCTCCCCCCCCCCTTCCCCCTTCCCCGCCTCCATAAAAGCAGCTGTCTGTTACAACAGTTTACAGACGACAATGAAGAAAATAGCAAGCAGAATATGTTATTACCTCCTTTTAATTTCAAATCGTTTAAAAACTTATCTACCCCTAATAGCTGTCTTTACGACTTTAAGCAGCTCACCAGACAGGTGGGGTTGGGTGTGATAGTGATATGGTCTGCTGAGCTTACGTCTTGGTGGTGTCTCACATGGTCCCCACGTAAAGAAATATATATATATATATATATATATATATATATATATATATATATATATATATATATATATATATATATATATATATACATATATATAAACAAACACAAAATACGAACATAGGGTGTTCATTTCTGGCCTAATGGAGAAAAATGTTTCTTTTTCAATTAAAGCAAAATACATCAACATGTCATGTGTGTGAGCTCATTAGTCTGTTTTTAACATCTGTTTTATTTATCTCTGCAATAAGACCTGTAATACTCAAGTCTGTCAAAACAATATAAAACATGAAAGCTTTGAATAAGTAATGGTGTTTCGTGTTATGTTAATTTTTATGTTGTTTTTTTTTTAATTTATAATATTCATTTTAAATACATTTTCTTTTTATACAATGTTATTCTTTAGTAAGTACTTTTTAAAAAAAATAATTAATTAAGAGAAGTAATTGCTTTATAATTTGTTTAGTACAAATCTATCAGAAGGAGCTCATGAGTACCTCTATTTGACTTTTTTTAAAAAGTAAATAAGTCATTGAAGTATTTTGAATGTTTGCTTATTTTACAAACTTCAGCTTATGTATATATATATATTTTTAGGCAACAGCATGTCTTAGCTACTGTATAACATCACTACTGTCGAAAATCTCTTTGTTATTTACAAAACCATTATTAAGGTGCCAATGGCGAAACTATAAAAAAACACGTCATTTATTTAGTGATTAATTAATTGTAATTCTCCAATAGATTAAAATACTAATAATATAAAAAAATAGTCTTACCTTATATTAAATTAATATGCGCTGACTAGTGTCTGATAAAATGTGAGAAGTGGTGAATGTACAGCTAGGAAGTTCGCTACTTGTAAGGCTAAGAGCTAAAGGGGGGGGGGGTCAGAAAAAAAGAACTTAAAAGGGTCAACAAAGCGTCGATGTGCTTCTATCCATCAGTACCGAAGCTAAGATGGTCTCAACTACTTTTCATAAAGCCTTACATTCGATGTAGAGAATTTAAAGTATACACATTTAGGATTTTGTATTTTGTAAAACAAAAATTAGTAAACGAAACGTACATATAACCGAAATTATTATTATATTCTTCATAATTATTTGTAGAATAGAGGATAGTACAGAATAATAGTTCTACCAATACAAAAAACTTACATTTTACATTGTAAAATCCCAATGGATTGTAAGCCCCTTTCCAACGCTATAAAGAAGCAAAAGTCGTTTTAATGTGTAGCGGCCTCCCACGCAATGGACTTTGATTTTTTTTTCAAAAGAATTTTGCCGACAACAGCGTGTTTTTGATTGTAGGAGAAAGAGGACTCGACCTTCACAGTGGTAAAAAAACAAAGGGAAAAAGAATATGCAAGAGCGTGAGAAGATGTCTATAGAATAAAAATAATTAAATCTTAGCTACAGTAATCTTTTTACAAAACAACCATCAAGTGAAAAATGCAAGAAAATTATTTTTTTTTTAAATATAAAAATGAATTATGGTCGGCTGTAGGCCTCTAATTGGTGCGAGCCCCCCCCCCCCCACTCCACACCCCCTCCACCCCCCCCCCCCCCAACGCATTGCGGTAGTTCCGCCACTGTACGCAGGCTGTCACTAGGAAATGTTCTAAATCGTGTTTTGAAAGTTGAAATCAAGCATATACTCCAGTCAGCAACACACCGCATAAGAACTGTTGACAACCAGTTACAAAAATCAGAAATAAACTCATCTTAACCTACCATCCTCATTCGATTTTGGCTAAAAATTTCATTATAAAAAGTTATTCTATCCTTAAGTCAGGCTCCTATTTAGTCCATTTATTTCAACAGAATCCGTTTATGGTGTTTAGAAGGAAACGCAATCTCCGAGACCTTTTAGTTCGCAGCCACCTGCCACCCACTATCACCACCAGGTTTGGCACTACTTATTGTTCCCGCAAAAGCAAAATCTGTCATTTCACCCTTCAGGTTAAATCACTCCAGCTGCCTAAGGGAACCCTCAGAACAAAAAAAACCAATTAAACTGTTAGTCCCGTAACGTAGTTTATCTCATCCAGTGTAGGCGATGCAACATGTTTTTTCTTGGGGGTGGGTTCTATTGTGGAAAACTCAAACTGTGGTATGTAATGGGACGGGTAGGAAGAGTGAATTGTTTAACATTCTGCTTGCGTGAATTACTGAATTTCACTAAAAAGTGATAAGAAGCCTTCCACTCCGTCCGCCCCCCCCCTACGATGTTGCTAACTCCTACCACATCCCACATGCCAGAGTAGCTAAAAATAGTTTGTAAACAGCATGCGTATCCATAATGCTTATCATTTTCGAATGTATCAAGGTGCCGTTAGCAACACATTAATAGAACTTTATGCTCTTCGAGCCAGAGAGGGGAAATACAAACAAATGGATATTTTTTAAACTTGTATAATTAATGTGGTTAATCTACCAATGAATAAATCAATAAATTAATTAACTTCTTTAAATAAATTTGTGATTAACAGTCTGTCTGAAAATAAAAAAAATTCTCTACCTAATTACTATTTTACCGCTCTACACATAGTGCAGATTCTCTCCTGTAGCCAATCGGACAAACAAAAAAAAAACAAACAAACAAACAAAAAAATATTCAAACATATAAACAAACTTGAGTTTTAGTAGTATTTAGATAACAAGTTTTGTAGCATATTAACGTCAATGTACGGGATAGTTTTTCTATTATAATGTTCTGTTTAATGTTCATTGAGTTTTTGTTGTGTTTTTTTGTTACCAAGCATAAAACGTTTTTTACTAAGATCTAAATTTATAAAATAT